AAGATATCTTGTCACTCAAATTTGAAAGCATATATTATCAGTTATTACCATTGTATTTGATCTTTTCTGGCATGTCCGTACTTATCACCTCAGGCTTCCTGTACAGGGTTTATTACTTATTAAGTTTGACCAAGAGCTTTTAAGATCAATAATCACCTCAGTGTCACCTTAGAGTAACACTGACAAGTTGTTAATCTCATCACTTATCTACCTTTTACATTGTTATCTTGTTTTTACAATTCTTAAAATAATAATTTGGTATTGCAGTGGAAAATCTAAACATTTGTATAGTGAAAAAAATATAATTATCCGTACTTTTAAGAAGTAATATTAATTAGACCAGTATAATAGAATTATCTGTACTTTAAAAAATTATATAAATTAGAACAGTATCTAATACAAGTAACTATAAAGCAGTTGAAATGATAAAAACACAAATACAATGTTTCATTTAAAACAGTCGTCTGAAGTGAAGTTGTAAACAATTACATAATATACATTTTTAATTAATTACATGATATACATGAGAAACGAAAGGCATGATATAACATCCAGAAAAATAAACCTTATAATAATGTGTATGGAGCCAGATGCCCAGCACAAAACGAAACTTGCATCAAATGTGAAAAAAAAATCACTTTGCTAGGATTTACAGATCTACAGAAAAATCCATTCATAATGTGAATGACAATTGTGGTCATAATTCGAGTGGTGATGAGGAATTCTATGTTGATACAGTAAGTGGTTCTTCTTCTTTTGATCGTGCAAATGCCCAAATATATATCTGCCCCTCCTAGCACCTTGTAAAGTTCAAAATTGATACCGGTAGTTCGGTAGACATCATTCCTCTAAACAAATTCAATAAGCTTAACATTATTCATCCGCTGGAAGCTCCAGGCAGTCGTTTGACCTCATATACAGGTCAGACATTACCTATCTGTGGCACGATTAGTTTACAGTTAAGATATAAAGATAAAACAGTACAAACTGTGTGTAACATTGTTGATAGATAGCCAATCAGCTCCTAATCATGAATTGAACTAGGTGTAATGTTCTAAATAGAACCAGACCCTTAAAGGGATTGTTTAATAACACAGACCCGAAGGATAGTTTCAAGCTTTTAATGTTTACTGTACAAGTTTATAATAAGAAGTAACTACAAGTATCAGAGAGGCAGAGCATGCATGCATTATACATATGAGGCGGGGCTTATCATAACTGACAGCAGCATACTACATTCCTCCTTTTCTTTAGACGAATAATATACTTTACTATGGAGAGAAAATGCTTACAATTAATCAAGCATGTGGAACTAAGGAACTGACCACTATTCTAAATGTTTATATTCTCACGGGTCAAATTACAGGCAATTGCCATCTTTAAGCGTGACTGACATTTAACATTTGTTAATAGTATCATGTATGAAACAAGCAAACAAGCAAAGTCAATTAATCGGATAAAGTGTATCTGACAGTTAATGTCTTTCATTGTAGAAATTTAAACTAAAATAAATACAAGCGTCTGCAAACTAATGTATTTTATTACGTTTATGATCTGTTGTAAGCGGCGTCCAGTTCGTTTATTTCACTCTGCCCAACTGTTAACAAGTTACTTTAACCTCAAGTTGAACTTTTTAAAAAACACACTCTTTGTAAATATAATTCCATACAATGTGCATACTGATTCTCGGTTGTTCTTTTTTTCAAATAGACTTAATATTTTTATTTAGAATAAAACAAGGCTCATCTAAATTTAAACTTTCACTTAAACAAATAAGTTTATCTTCCGTTTTGTTGTTTAAGAAATAACATCGGCCTGAGAGGTGTATATCGGCTATTTAACACCGGTTTGGAGTTTTGATGCGTAGGAATTGACCACGAAGGCCGTAGGCCTGAGTGGTTAATTTTGTCGCATCAAAACTTCCGGTGCCGATTTTCGTATAACGCTGTTCGATTTTCGCACCCTACTGTTGCGAAGATAAAGAAATTATTAAACAAAAGAAATAATAAGAAAAAAACACGTTATTTTATCAAGTTTTCGACATTAAAAACTTACGTCGTATTGTGTTTACATCAGTGCCCCATTTATCATTCTTGTCTGTATGAAATAACGTCAGCTTGTTTATGAATGAGTTGTTTACTTAGGATGACGTCATTACGCTGCTTACGGATTGGCGCCGTTTTGTCAAAATATTTATTAGCTGATATGGATCTAATATCTGGCGTTAGTGTATGTGAGATATTATTTCGGTATTGTATGAAAAGAAAACATTATACGAACTGAAAATTTAAATAAAAATGCTTTTAATTGTTGCTTTAAAATGCTTTGTAAACTATATAATCGAGGGTGAAGACATAACAGCACATATACAAATAGTCACTAACGGGTGTTTATTGGCAGTTTAACACCAGTTTTTTTCCTTCTTTGTCTATAGTGACAAAATCACGTGAGTGTTAGAATGTTATTTTAAGTTAAACAGGTATTATTATGACCTGTATAATCTAAAGCATATAATCACTGAATAATTCCATTTAAGTATAGTCTTTGAATTTAGCTGGTGGTCTACGGTTTCTTACTGGATGGTGCTGGCGGGTGTTCGTCGGTTATACATTGGTCGGTACGGTCGGCTGACGTGTTAATTCGTTTGAATGATTGCCTAAAACTAGTTTGAAATGTGATATATTTTACGGGTGATTAATCGTTCTTCATGTTTCACAGTTACCATATAACCATTTCTCTTTATCACTGTTGCCGGTAAGGATCGAACGCAGAATCTAATTTGTGAGGTTGCGTCTTTTGAACTAAAACGCGATCTCCTGCTTTCATTGGAGTAGATTTTGCATGGCGGTGGTTATCGGCATAGTTTTTATGTTTCAGTTTATGTTTTTCGTCTCTATTTCGAACGGAAGCGTCTTTCTTATTGACTGTGAACTTCGGTAGCTTTGTGAGAAGTTTTCTTCCGAACATCATTTCAGCCGGGGCTAACTCAGTTGCTGTATGTAGTGTGTTTCTATAGTTCAGCAGAAATTTATTTAATTTCGATTGGTAGTTCTTGCCTGAGGCAATGGCTGTTTTTACTGTTTTTTTGTAGCGGCTGCATAAATCTCTCTACTATAGCATTGTCCATTGGATGTAGTGGTGTAATTTTTCGATGAATAAATCATGCCTTCTCTGCAAATTATTTGAAAACGTAGCTATTAAAGGGCGGACCGTTGTCTGTACGAACAACGAGACCATGCCGAACATGGAAGATATGGCTTCTAGTTTTGCTATGACCGGTTCGGCTTTCAGGGACATAAGTCTTTTAACAACGGGATAGCGGCTGTAGTCATCAACTATAACCATGAAATAATGACCGGATGGGAATGGACAACAGAAATCTACTGTAGGGTTAATACAGGTCACATATTCAGTAGAAAACTCTGCTCAAGTAAACACAGCCACTCTCGATAAACAAAAAGTTATGTCAGAGTACTGTGATTTATTCCGAGGAGTAGGGAAAGTAAGTTTCAAAGCAAATGCTACTCCTGTAAGAAACGTACCTAGACGGGTTCCCGAAGCATTGAGACATAGATTGAAGGATGAACTCCAGCGTATGGAGAAAGAAAGGATTATAAGCAAGGTTACAGAACCTACAGACTGGGTAAATTCCTCAGTCATAGTAGAGAAGCCTAAAACGGGAAAGCCTAGGATTAATTTGTCTTGATCCTAAAGCCTTGAATGATGCTATCAGGTGTTACTGAAGTACCATTTTGGTCATTAAATGGATTAAAAGCTGGCCCTTCAAAAATCGAGGCAATTTCAAGCCTTGAAATAACAAAGACCCGACAGCAACTTGAGAACATACTTGGTATGGCTAACTACCTACAGAAATTTTCTCCAAACTTAGCCGAGATCACACGCCCTATGAGATTGTTACTCAAGAAAGACTTGAGTTCATATGTGATGAATCTCAAACTGAGGCATTCAACAACATGAAATCAATCATTACAGAGAGCCCAGTACTGTCCTACTTTAATCCAAAGTTACAAGTAACACTTGAGTGTGACTGTTCAAAAACTGTGGCAGCTGCAACTTTAATGCAAAATGGGGATCCTGTTGCTTTTGCATCCCGAACTTTGACAGAAACCGAGTCAAATTATGCAAAAATTGAGAGAACTTTTAGCAATACTGTACACTTGCAAGCGCTTCCACCAGTATGTATATGGTAGACACATAACTGTGCACTCGGACTGTAAACCTTTCATGCGGAAAGTTTATCGGCATGCCCTCCTAGACTTTAAAGAATGAGATTACAATTGTCTAACCTTGACGTTAAACATGTTAGTGGTAAACAAATAACCATCAGCCACTGAAAGACACGTTTATACTAGACGGCCTGGACTAACATGTGCAAACAGTTATAAAAAGTTTAAACATAACTGATCGCAGACTAGACGCACTGAAGCATGACATTCAAAAAGATGCAAACATGGATCTGAAGGAGAAAATTATTGATGGTTGGCCACTTTCACGTGCCAAATGTGAAAATTGAATCTGCAACGAAATCGGACGAGCGGTGTCGAAGCAGTGGACTCAAGCGCATTCTGTTTTTTTACGTACCTTAACAACAGCTAAAAACGGACCGCACTCACGGAGTTCTCACGGACGTTTTACTTGGGCTACTGCTTGGAGACTTACATTTCTGTAAAGGGGGCCCTTCACACTTGTACAAAATCGAATCCGCAACGGAATCGGACCGATGGAGTCAAAGCAGTGGCTGTAGACGCCCTGTGTCTTTACGTACGTTTAAATATTAATGAGGTTGTCGGGAATTGCGCTCATAATCATGTGCCGTGAAATGACGCCAACGTATGCGTGACGTTAGAGTACGTCACTTCCTATGTTTTGTAATTAAAACGTTAGTAGTTTGAATAGACGTATAAACCAGACACAACGTGTTGTACATTACTATCGTAGTATAGTACCCTAACCGACATTGGTGCCGTGACGAAAACATTATGAATATAGATAAATTGCGATCAGTGAGAGAGGGTCAACGAAGATGTGTAGAAATTCAGCTTGAACGAATTGAACGGGGGAAAGAGAATTCATCGATGATAGAATTTAATGCAATTCTCGAAGCCATTGTCAGAAAAGCAGAGACGATCAAATCCTTAAACGAACAGATTTTAGAACTAACGGAAGTAACCGACATTGAGGGGGAAATAATAAGCAGTGAAGAATATGGATTGTCGCTGGAAATAAAGGTGAGAGAACTTCGAGCTTATAGCGAAAACAGAAAAAGCAACACTGAAGAACAACAGAATGCTTATAGCGAACCATCTAACCCGCAAAACCAGGACCAAGACGGAAGTGGTTCCCTGATCGAAAATAATAACGTGAATAATGGTAACAGTTCTTTGCAAAATGTGAGTACATTTCATTCAAACACGTCGCTTTATCACAGACTGCCGAAATTATCACTGCCTGTCTTTAGTGGTGACATTCTCGAATGGCAAAGTTTTTGGGATGCTTTTGATTCATCTGTTCATCAAAACCCGAATCTTACAGAAGTTCAAAAATTTAATTATTTTGAAGACGCAACTAGAAGGCAGTGCGGCTCAAGTTATTCAAGGATTTGCACTAACGAATGCAAATTACATACAAGCAGTCGATTTACTGAAGGAGAGGTTCGGACAGACTCATAAAATCATTCATGCGTATATACAGGTGTTACTAAACCTGCCAGCCCCGAGCAATACTCTACACAGTATGAGAAATTATATCGACAATTTAGAAGCTTATATCCGTGGATTGGAGTCCCTAGGCCAAAATCAAAATACATATGGAACGCTTTTAGTACCGGTCATTATAGACAAACTTCCGGCAGAAATTCGCAAGAGTTTAGCACGAGAAAATGGCAGCGATGAGTTGTTATTAGAAACTTTACGAAAAGCGTTATACCGTGAACTGAATATCATGGAGGCCGGGCAGACTACAGATGATTTAACAGTTTATAGAACTACAGCGTCGTTTTTCACGGGCGCGAGACAGAAAACAGGAACCGGAAGTCTCGTGACACAGAATTCCGCACGCGAAACGTTTGATGACCAGGAACAGTGCATTTTTTGCAACGAATTTCACAATGCCAAAGACTGTACAGAAGTAACTGATAAGAGAGCTAGAAAAGACATTATAAGAAATAAACATTTATGTTTTAATTGTTTGAATATTCACCACCAAGTCATTAACTGTCCATCAAACTACAGGTGCTTTAAATGTAGAAGAAAACATCACACTAGTATATGTGAAAGTAGTCCAGATCCAATTCTAAATATCGGTGTTAGTGAGTCAACCCAATCTTCAACCGAATATCAACCCACAAATCAAGCACAAACTGCAACTTTAAAGTCAAGTGCCGCATATGAAGCGTTCATAGATTACGACACGTAGAGAAGCGTTACAGAGAAATGAGAAGGAGTACAGTTATTATTAAAGTCACAGACTATAAACATTTATAAGATATATGAATTATCAATTGAGAGACATTTGTGTTATTTAAAAAAAAAATACTTTTATTTAAATGTATTTTAGAAAAGAGTTATATATAAGATTTGATGAAATTAACTGATATGAATTTTAATAATTTATCATTTTGCGGCCCCCAGAATGTCGGGAATTGCGCTCATATGCATGTGCCGTTAAATGACGCCAACGTATGCGTGACGTTAGAGTACGTCACTTCCTATGTTTTGTAATTAAAACGTTAGTAGTTTGAATAGACGTATAAACCAGACACAACGTGTTGTACATTATTATCATAGTATAGTACCTATCCGACAGAGGTATTGTTACAACGAAAAATTGGCCACGCGCGCCGAGTTCTCACGGATGTTTTACTTGGGCAAGGGCTTGGAGACTTACATTTCTGTAAAGGTGACCCTTTATGCTTGTACAAAATCGAATCCGCAACGAATCGGACGAGCAGTGTCGAAGCAGTAAACTCATGCGCATTCTGTTTTTTACGTACCTTTACAAAAGTGAAAAACGGACCGCGGCACATTTTTCGTTGTTACGTAAACATACAAGGCGCCTACAGCCACTGCTTTGCGTCATGTGAACGTTGTCGTCACCTTGTTGATCTTTATTCCTGTCTTCTTTTGTTTACTCTTATCCCGCTTTCAATTTTTTCTTTTCCACCAGGAAGCTTCAATATATATAAAACATTAATTCAGAGATCAATTGACCCATCACTAATACAGAAATTTATCAAGATATCTGCTAAAGCATACAATCAATACTGATAATAATAATATTAATACAGCCAGGGTGTAACTCTTTTCTAACCTTCTTGATAATGTTTACCCTGTGCTAGTTGAATGGAACATGTATTAACTATCTATAGTTTTGAATGTCCTGATCAAAAGCGTAGTAATCATCTTATCAACAGTAAAATGTAAAATGATAAAAATACAATTTCAGATCTATCTAGCAAAGGACATCGATTTTTGTCTGGTAGAATATTAAGTATATGCACTAGACACACATGAACATTGTTTAATAATAAAGTTGATGTCTAAATGTCCTATTATGTGGCCTGAATCATTCCCTTTGTAGCCAGTGCTTTCATTGCTTTGATCCGAGTTAAAGAGAAAACGAAATCGTTTTCTTTGTATTGTGTAAGTGTGTGCGTGTGATTTTTGATGCTTACATTACTCAAGGTCTTGTTCGTTGTATAAAAGGTATTAGTAATTAGGGTGTTTTTTTTCTGAACGGGTGTCAGATAAACCAAAGTGACCCCATCACACTGTCTTGTTTAAAAAATTTTCTTAGCCTAAATATCTTGATATTTTAACCATAACAAAGTTAATACATAATATTTATTAATTACACGGTCGCACTTAATTTAACATAGAATATTTGTAAAGTTTATGTATGTCAGTTTCCATCTCCGTACGTTTAGCCAACTTTATCATTGTAACCGAGTAAAAATACATGATTACAACAATATAATGCTTTAAAGCTACATTAAATGAATTTCTTAAAAACAGAAATAGCGACATTTCATTAGTAAATTTGGTTTTATATCGACTCCAGATCTTATTATGGTGTCAAGGCAACCAAAATGAGTTTTATAAACATAAATATCTGCGACCTCATTGTGGCGAAATCGGAATTTGCATCAGAAACTCCGCCTTCGGGTCATCCGTACATCAATATTAAATCAACAAACATGGTTATAAGTAGCAGTCCTAATATAACGGTATATTTACGCATTGTAACGGTTGTTTTCATACAAATTTAATATTTTTATGAGATGATTAGTCTTTCCTGAACGCCATGCCAAGTGCACCGTGAAGCTAAAACGCTTAAAGTGTGTATGCACATGAAAATCTCGTATTTGCTGTGTTCTGTATGGAACAGAATTAATGCATTTATTCCATCTTGCTCTTACATTATGCTTGCTTCTATACTTCTTTATGACAATGAAAACCTGCGTTTTGCTGAATTCAATCATGCCTTATGATTACTGAATGCACTTTCATGTAATTGCAACCTTGTGTGTTCCCTACTAAACCATCAAACTCACATATTTTAATATGCTATATGTTTAATTGCATCTTTTTTTAAGGACAACGTATTATGTTTGGTGTTTAAGATAACATTCTTTATAACTATATGTAACATGGTAGTTGTATCTTTAATTTGCTATAAATCTGCCACTTATATTGTCGACATTATGTCAAAATAAACTATTCATTTTGATCAATAATTGGCGAATTTGATGTGTCTTAGCATTCATATGCTTCAATATATTCACTGATTACAAATATAATGCAATACATGATCACTGCGCATCGACAACAAAGATGACAACGATAGCGATATTATAGTCGCATGTGACAGTACGCAGTAAGCATAATGCGAGTTGCAATAATTTGTGTTCATATTATGACAGCAGGTGTCGCTTTGTCGGTACATCCCGTTATTTTCCGGATGATCCCGTATTTTGGCACGTGGAGTAAACAAAGTTACGTCCACTTTATATAGGGGCGTATACAGAACAGTGTTAGTTGGGGACTGACATGTAAATTTACTGAAAAACAAGAGAACACGATGCGACAGACGAAAAGTGCGTGTTTTGAAGATTCCGCCAGCATGTGGAAAAAAAAATTTATGTCTCTAATAACTCATCCTACAAGTGGCAACTCACCTCTTATACAATTGTTTACACTTCTTGATAAGTGAAATTGAATTTTATCAAACTTAAGGTGGCACAAAGGTGACATGTGTGTGTTTTTATTTATCTCGTGCGCACGAGATACTGTGTCGTGGCCACGGGTTACTAAGTCGTGGCCACGAGATAGTTAAGTCGTGGGAACGAGATACTATGTTGTGGCCACGAGTTACTAAGTCGTGGCCACGAGATAATTAAGTCGTGGGAACGAGATAACTAAGTCGTGGCCACGAGATAAATAAGTCGTTGGAACAAGTTACTATGTCGTGGCCACGAGAAAGTTTAGTCGTGGCCACGAGAAAGTTAATTCGTGCGAACGAGATAAATAACCAATCAAATTACACTATTTATATGAATTTTCCTAACAAGGATGCCCCTACTTCACTTGCCCGTAAAAGTGCCATTTATACAAGTTATTGATTGGTCAAAGATTTAGCGTCATTGTGACCCTGATTTCTGACCAAATTGCCTAAAAATTATTAGGTGTCATCTACTGATCTTTTTAGGTTATATAAACTACGGCTTATTCTTTCTAAATCATTCATCAGACAAGGATTTTACATGAAGTGTCATGTTTATCTGACCTGTGACCTCAAACATCCTTATAGGATATCTACTGTCCATGGGCAATGTCCCTTCCCAATAAAATAAACCAGGACTAAGTCCCTCTCAAGTTATGGTATGAACAATGTTAACAGGCCTGTGTACGTACAAAATGACCAATTCTATCATAGAAATGTCCCAACAAAGGGCTATAACTTAGTCAAAATTAATGTCTGATTTATGGGCCTTATGATCCTAAAGACATGTGTTAAGTTCAAAGTGAACACTTCAGTATTTTCAAAGATTAATGTTGCACGTAAATCTTTAAACAGAAATTTTCTAAGTTTAAAAAGTCATGGTGTAATCTTATTTAATTATCTCGTCTGCACGACTTAGTTATCTCGTTCCCACGACTTAAACGACTTAGTAAATCGTGGCCGTTACATAGTATTTCGTGGCTACGATATAGTATCTCGTTCCCACGACTTAACTATCTCGTGGCCACGACTTAGTAACTCGTGGCCACGACACAGTATCTCGTGCGCACGAGATAAATAAAAACACACACATGTCACTTAGTAACTCGTGGCCACGACTTAGTACTGTAAAATAAAATAAATATAATTTGGCTTCACACAAACATTGTGCTTTAAATCCTTTACACTGTAAGTGGGCAGTATGAATATTCATGTATACTGTTATTACAAAAATATATATGGAAGTTTCTTTTAAAGACAGGCACAACTTTACTTGACCCGTAATAAGGAAAGCAGATTCCTATACATTATGTGTATGTGTTTTTATTTAAATAAAACATATTTAGTAAGAATTTTATAGACTTCAATAAATTTCTGTGATAAAAATATATTACTGAAAGATGTGCATAGTATATCATTTAGCACAAATGTATGTGAATGTGGTGGTGTGTGCGGGATGTCTGATCTATAATCAGACACACATATGCCCAACATTTATAATTGACTATGCACATGTCACAAAAATAAACAACTTCCTTCTTTCCTTATTATACATGTATATTTTAATGTGTTACATACCTATTCGCCACTATTAGTGACTCTGAGACATTTATTAAGTTAAAAGGCCAATTAATAACTTTTGCTTTTAATGTCCAAGTCATTAGATAAAGACCTTCGCAATCGCAATACCTGGGCAGGTGCTTAACAACTGGATGACAGCATTATATGTTTTGATAAGGGAGTACACTATGACCACTATTGCATGAAACTTACACGTATATATTCCATCCCAGCTCATCAACGTATCTTTGGGGGTAGGTGCAGCCCTTAAGCCAAGGCCTGAATCCGCCACTGTACGTATAACTGCCCCATTGAATAACTGTTTACGAGCATATTTTTTCTATTAGACTGTATACATATACATGTATAAAATTATATTGCATAATCCTTACTAGTTGTATTTATATTCTTTCCACTGCAATTTATGTATTAAGCGCTTGGTACGTATTTCTAGCATTGTCGCCCTCTGTATTTTAACGTATAACCACGATGGCCCTAACGGTATTCCGTAATATATACATGTACGGAAAATTCCGATTATAGGCGAATCATGGAAAAAATCCGTTGATATCGATAACAGAGTTCTCGCCCCTTAACAGTTCGCAAATCGCTAGACATTGTTTAAATTGTTTATC